TCTCCCAGGTGGCTTGTGGCAAACTTTAAACAAGACTTTTTATGGATATCTTTGAGAAATGGCTTTCTTCTTGCCACTCTTCCATAAAGGCCAGATTTGTGCAGTGCACGACTGATTGTTGTCCTATGGACAGACTCTCCCACCTCAGCTGTAGTTATCTGCAGTTCATCCAGAGTGATCATGGGCCTCTTGTCTGCATCTCTGATCAGTCCTTGTTTGAGATGAAAGTTTGGAGGGACGGCCGGGTCTTGGTAGATCTGCAGTGGTCTGATACTCCTTCCATTTCAATATAATTGCTTGAACAGTGCTCCTTGATATGTTTAAAGCTTGGGAGATCTTTTTGTATCCAAATCCGGCTTTAAACTTCTCCACAACAGTATCTCGGACCTGCCTGGTGTGTTCCTTTGTCTTCATGGTTCTCTCTGCGCTTTAAACAGAACCCTGAGACTATCAAAGAGCAGGTGCATTTATACGGAGACTTGATTACACACAGGTGCATTCTATTTATCATCATCAGTCATTTAGGACAACATTGGATCATTCAAAGATCCTCACTGAACTTCTGGAGTGAGTTTGCTGCACTGAAAGTAAAGGGGCCGAATAATATTGCACGCCCCACTTTTCAGTTTTTTATTTGTTAAAAAAGTTGAAATTATCCAATACATTTCGTTCCACTTCACGATTGTGTCCCACTTGTTGATTCATGACAAAAAATTAAAATTTTATATCTTTATGTTTGAAGCCTGAAATTTGGCGAAATGTTGAAAGGTTGAAGGGGGCCGAATACTTTCGCAAGGCACTGTATCTGCCCCTCCGCTGCTGCTGCAATACCAAAAAAATGTATGGCCATAGCCAAGCAAATTCATACAAAACCATCGACATGTCCCAGTTGTTCTAAATGCTTTTACTGTTTAATGACTAATTACTCTTTATTTCATTTAGAAAAATTAGGACTTATTCCAATTCCCTTGTTGTTTTTTCTGTTCTTTCAACCAATAAAGTGTTTAAATGTTCTTGCATTTTAAGTGAGTGTGTATATACAATGTGTTTTCTTGTTTAAATATGTTTAAATGTGTATGTCTAATGTGTTTCCTATTGATTGAGAATAGTATTTTTAATTAGAAAGTACACCTAAAGTACTTTAATTTAATTGGGTTTTAGTGACGTTTTTTAGTAATTAGATTGATACATTCAGCTGAGACTGACCCAAAAGTGTCGCTGTGCTTTCTCTCTGAGGTAGAGCTTTGACTGTGGCCACTTAGAGCGATTTGTAAACTTTATAAACACACAATGACAGCACAATCAAAGAGCACTGCTGTGTCCCAAAAATGCCCAGTATCCTCACAGTTTAATTCCTGTTTGAGCATTATTTGGGAAACTCGTGTAAACCACCGCTGAACTCCAGAGAAACTCAAGCTGTTTCCCGCGAACAGGAAGTGAGGTGGGGCTTTAGCTAAAACACGGAAGTAAGTAAGTAAGTAAGTAAGGTCAGGTGGCGGGAATATGAGGGACGTTAACCAAATCAGTCAACCATATATACCATGTATATTAGACAAAGATTGATATTTTAATATACTTTTATTCATATATAAATATATTTAAAAGTATATTGATCCAATGACATGTGACGTGGTGTGATGCGGGCCACGGCTAAATAGTGTGCATGTGTCCGAATCGCCAACAGAATGAGTGCACTGACTCACTCACTCTAGTCCCGAACTATATAGTGAGTGAGTTGATATATATATATATATATATATATATATATATATATATATATAGTGTGGACATTCGGATACAGCCCATGTATGCAGATAACCAGGGTGCAATTGCATTGTCTAAAAACCCTATTAACCGACAAAGATGTAAACAAATTGACGTTTGATTCCATTTCATTCAATCTGCACTAAAAGAGAATAAAAAAAATTATATTGTGCAACAGCAGACATGGCAGCTGATGTAATGACTAACTCAGTGAGCAAAGTTAGAATGGAAAGGTTCACACATTTTCTGTTTTGAATGTAAATGTAATGTAAATATGCCTGTGTCTATTTGACTTGCACTGCAGTGTTAAAGCTGCACTAACTGACTTTGGGATTTTGAAGCCGCAGACTCGCTGGCCTCTCTCTTTCTGCTCCCCTCCCCCACGAAGCTATCGCCCCCCACACACACCCACTGTTGTTGACGGAGCTAGTGTCTCCCAATATGGATATTACATGGATATGGATTTGCACGTGGATGGCGTGACCATAGAATGATAGAACCGGGAAGCGCGGAGGAATGGGACTGTCTTTTGGATGGCTGTCTTGCTGTGTAAGTGTAACATAGTTATTAGAGTACAATTAAATCCACGTAAATTGTGGACACAGCGCCATCTTCTGGCGTTTGCCATACCTGCACCCTTAGTTCGCGCGGAAAGTCCCGAGTTCTTTCACTGTCTGGAGAACTCGAGACGAGGTAACATGTCCGTGAATTTGTGTGGACAGAATTATTAGTTTACTCATGTGTAGCCATTGAAATGCTAAGCTAGTGATTAATTGTTGTGTAGTATTTAGCTGGTGTATATTTCGCCATGTTTAAGAAAAGGTTTTGTGTAATATCTTTTATTTAACCGTGTTTTTCTACCGGAGAACCTAGCTTAGTGTGCGGCTAACCGATGTCCCTTTGCAGAACGAGACAGCACAGAGCACATGAGAGTCCACTACCAGTTATTCACAGTGTCTAATGTTATCTGTGCAGGTATGTAATGTTTAATATGTTTTTTTCTGTACATTTGTTTGTTTTACTATTGGTTAAATGTGCGTTGCACCATTTCGATAAAGTAGAGTTGTGACACATGCATTTCATACATAATTGGCAGCTAGAAAAAGTATTATTTGGTATAAGATATTTCATGATTGTTTATTAAAAACCACTATACGATCACAAGAACTATTTACAATGCTATATTTGGTAAAAAGGTATTGTATTTTTATTTTGATGTGTATTATTATAATTGTATTTTTTGTATGTGTAATTACAATATTGTAGTTGTTTTAAATATTTGTAACTACAAATTAGGTATACAATTGATTCACACTGTCTGGAGAACTCGAGACGAGAACGAGACAGCACAGAGCACATGAGAGTCCACTACCAGTTATTCACAGTGTCTAATGTTATCTGTGCAGATAATAAAACACGACTTCTACACACAAGCTCTAAAGTCTCCATGGGTCATTAAAGAGAAGGCAGGACACACCGGTCACATTGGTGCCGTGACTCGTCGACTGCTTCGAACTGGACTTGTCTTCTCGCTGTGTCGCCCTGGAGCTGCTGTCGTGTCTGCGCTGGACGCCTGCTCTGCTCTCGTCATTGACTCTTAAAGCTATCAACATGAGCTTCAGCAGAACCAACTCACCGTTAGGGTTCGGGAGGGGCCGTGGGTTGCAGTTTTCTCCGGTCCCATTCACTCTTGGAGGTGGTGGAAACGTGGTAGTTAATGATAATGTAACGCCACACATTAGTCCTGCTGCCGATATTAATCAACCTCAGTGCAGTACTGCACAAGAGTCTGCTTTCGAGAATGTTGGATTGGTCAACCAAATGAGTGACATTGTACAACAGATCGGACAGCAGTTAGCGGACAGTATTGTTACAAGGTTGAATACGTCTCCTAATATAAGTGTGCCCAAAGGTCATCAAAGTACACCGGATGAGTGTGAGCCAGTTTACAATCGCACATTAGACCTTTCCCAAGTGGCTTTTGTGCGAAAGGGTGCTAAAGAGCCTCCTGCATTTAAAGGGGAGGGTTCAGATTCTGTGTCCATTGATGAGTGGGAAGAGTCAATGAGACATTTTATTTGTAAAAATAGTGTCCCGCTTGAGAGTCAGGCGGAGGAAATCATCGTCCATTTAAGAGGCAGGGCAAAGGACATTGTTAAGTTTGGGATTAGAAATGGTGAAGTTGATGTTAAAAGCAATCCAAATGCCATTTATAGTCTCCTGCGTAAGCACTTTAGCCCCAGTGTTTGCTCCTCGGTACCACTTGCTGACTTTTACTCCACACTGCCAAAAGAGAACAAGGACCCTTATGAGTTTTGGTTGAGGCTGAATAGAGCTGCAGATAATGCTGTGAGCTGTCTTAGTGAGCAAGGTAAAGAGTTTGATAATCCCAGTGTGGAAGTCACCCGTATGTTCATAAGGCACTGTCCCAGCAAAGATCTAGCTCTCACCTTTAGATCCAAAACTATTGATAAGTGGACAGCTCGTGAGGTCCAGGAAGTGTTAGACGAATACCACCTAGAGAGAGGACCAAAATGCTCAAGTGTTAATAACAGAGTTATGATGAACAAGGTTGAACTAAGCCCTAACGTGCCTCATGCAACTAATGTGTCTGATAATTCAACCTTAGAGAGGCTGATTTCAATGCTTGAAAAAGTCCTGTTACAGAATCAGACCACTCTGGCCAGCAGGAAGCCGCGCGGTGATCAGAGATCCCCGAAAGTGAAGGGCTTTACGAGTGCTCCATGTCTGGTTTGTAATAACGTCTCCCACTCGGCACTGACCCACTGCCGCGACAACAATCTGTGTTTCCTGTGCCACTTACCTGGTCATGCCAGACGCGACTGTCCTCAGCATAAACAAACCTCCCACACTGACCAGCAGGGAAACTGAGTGGTCTGCGCGCAGGGGAGGACAGCGCAGATCGAGTTAATGACCCTCCCGCCTTGAATATGGACACTGATCTTGAGTCACTTTATGATACTTTTAGCAGTACTGTGCCGTCTGGTAAAACTGTTATTATGCAAGGCCTGCAGAGACTTTCAAAGACAGACACACTGTTCCACACTGAAGTGGTCACTGAGAACGGACATGTAATAAAGGCACTAGTTGACAGTGGTTCTATGGCATGTACAGTGAATGAAAAAACAGATGCTGAGCTAACAAAGATGTTGCCGCAAGTCGAAAGAGGCACAGCCAAGGACTTTGTTATAGTGGGCTGTGGTGGTCACTTAGTCTCACCCACAGCTCTGTACGATCTCACGCTGACAGTGCATGGTTTTAAAGTTGTAGTCCCTATTCTGGTTGTGCCAGGCCAATCCGATGACTTGATGGGCAGTAATGTTCTGAAATGGCTCATATCCCAGATTGAAGACTCTGAACACAGTGACAAGTTGACACCTTTATTGTCACTTCTGTCCAATACCAAACACATTGATAAAGGGGATTTTCCTGCTAGCCTTGGTACTGCTAAACTAAAGAAGAGTGTCACGCTCCAGCCTTTGACTGAACATTTAGTGTGGGCGAGGTTGCCTGTCGTTGACGCTAATGCTGTGGGTGATTCAGTCCTTGTTGAGCCCACTCATTCCAGGACAAGACTGGCTCAAATCCTGGTTGGCAGGGTTGTTACCTCTCTTTATGGTGATGGTTGGGTGCCTGTTAAAATTGTGAACCCCACTACCAAACCACTCATATTGAGAAAGAATGCTAAAGTTGTGGATGTGTCGTTTTGTTCATCTGTGCAGGACTTACCGGATCCAAAACGTGTACAGTCAAATACTCAGTTCTCTCCGAGCTCACCACCCACTCAAAAGTCTGAGGCTGAGATCAACAAAATCCTGTGTGACATGGGCCTTCAAGAACTTGATGTCATGTCTTGTGAGGTAACTTTGGAGTGGAAGAATAAGTTACTACACACTATCGAACAGTACGAGTCTATATTTTCGAGGCACAAAATGGACTGTGGTGAGGCGAAAGACTTTGTCCACCGGATTCGTCTGTTGGATAACAAGCCATTCAGATTCCCTTACAGACGTGTCCCGCCATGCCACTATGACAAACTCAGGACTGCTTTGAGTGATATGGAGGTGTTGGGCATAATCAGGAAGTCTCAGAGCGAGTACTCCTCTCCGCTTGTCCTTGTAGTGAAGCCCAATGATGATCTGCGCATTTGTAATGACTTCAGATGGCTTAATGCGAGAACTGTGAAAGATGCGCACCCTTTGCCCCATCAAACAGACGCGCTTTCTGCGCTTGGTGGCAATGTGTTTTTTTCTACCATGGACCTCACTTCAGGTTTCTATAATGTCAAGCTGCACGAGGATGACAAGAAATACACAGCCTTCTCCTCACCGTTTGGCCTCCATGAGTACAATAGGATGCCGCAAGGCCTAACAAACAGTCCTGCCACTTTTATGCGCATGATGATGTCGATTTTTGGAGACGAGAACTTCACAAGTCTGCTATGTTACCTGGACGATCTTCTTGTGTATGCACCTTCCGAGCAGATCGCCCTTGAACGCTTGGAAATGGTTTTTTCGCGTCTAGCTGCTAACAACCTCAAGCTTTCGCCCAAAAAGTGCCATTTCCTCCAGCGCTCTGTTAAGTTTCTGGGCCACATAGTTTGTGAGGATGGTGTCATGACTGACCCAGGCAAGGTTCAGACCATCAATGAAGTACAGGAGAGTGACCTCATGGAGTCAGATGGTGTAACTCCCAGTGCTAAGAAAATCAGGTCCTTCTTAGGAATGGTCTTGTATTACGACCATTTTATTGAGGCGTGTTCAGCTAAAGCTAGGCCATTATTTAGTCTGGTGTCAGAGCCCACTACATCTAAGAGAAAGAGGGGTAGGCATCCTAAACCAAAGTTTAAGAAGGGTTTAGTGAGGTTGGCACCTTCTGACTGGACTGATGACTGTAGACACGCTTTTGAGACTCTGAAACACGACTTGGTGCACTGTGTGACGTTGGCTCATCCAGACTTTGACGCTCCCTTTATTCTTGCGGTAGACGCTTCTTTTGACGGTATAGGCGCTGTCCTCTCGCAACTCCCCCCTGGTAGCGAAATCGCCAGGCCCGTGGCTTTTGCTAGTAAGACTCTCTCCCATTCCCAGTTAAACTACCCGGCACATCGTCTGGAGTTCCTGGCACTTAAATGGGCGGTTTGTGAGAAATTTAGCCATTGGTTGAAGGGACGGACTTTTTCTGTGTGGACTGACAATAACCCGCTCACGTACATTTTGACAAAACCAAAACTTGACGCTTGTGAGCAGAGATGGGTCGCTAAACTTGCTGCTTACAATTTTGATCTTAACTATGTCCCTGGTGCTAAAAATGTAGTCGCTGACGCGCTGAGTAGAGAGCCTTTTGTTAAGTCTTGCATTGCCCACCGTCTGGTCACTGAGCCATACTCATTCCTGCTTGCCCAGATCAGTGAGGTAGCTGACCGGAAAGTCCAGGATGCGTTCAGGTGCACTAATAACTGCCAGATAGTGGAGAGTCAGTTTGAGCGTTCTATTAGTTCACCTCAGCTGTCCTTTGATGATGTTCAGGCTGTGTTGGGTGCTCACGTCGATGGTGTCAGCCAAATCAGAGGTGCTGGTACGGACATCCCACAACTCACTGGCGTGGACCATCATGCCTCCTTGCCAAAAAGCCAACTTGCCAACATTCAAGAGCAGGATGAAATCTTGAACCGTGTTTTTTATTATGTCCAGAGGCACAAGAGACCCTCAAGACATGAACGTGCTGATGAGTCTTGTGGTGTCAGGAAGTTACTCAGACATTGGCCCAAACTTTCAATCAGAGATGGCATGTTGTACAGATAAAAAAAGGACATTAAAATGAACGTGACGATAAACCAGTTTGTTGTGCCGGACTCTTTAAAGACTCAGGTACTGAATGGACTTCACGACTCGGCTGGTCATCAAGGACAGGCTCGAACGCTGTCGTTGGCCAGACAAAGATTCTTCTGGATTGGAATGGAATGTGACGTTGTCAACCATGTTAAAAACTGTTTCAGGTGTCTGGTTGGAAAAACCCCTGAACCCAAGGACCGTGCACCCCTTGAAAGCATTCACACCTCAGAGCCGATGGAACTGGTGTGCATCGACTTTTGGACTGCTGAACAAACAGATAAGAAGTGTGTTGATGTTTTGGTTGTCACTGATCATTTTTCTAAACTTGCTCACGCTTTCCAGTGTAAAAATCAGTCAGCTAAACAAGTCGCTCGTCGTCTCTGGAATGACTTTTTCTGTGTTTACGGCTTCCCAAAAAGGATTCATTCAGACCAGGGTGCGAATTTTGAGAGTCAACTCATAAGAGAACTGCTGGAGATGGCTGGTGTCCAGAAATCGCACACCACTCCGTACCACCCGATGGGGAATGGTATAGCGGAAAGATACAACAGGACTCTGGGAAACATGATACGTGCCCTACCCCCAAACTCCAAGGCTAGGTGGCCTCAAATGTTACAGACTCTGACATTTTGTTACAACTGTACCGAACATGAGACGACAGGGTTTGCACCTTTTTATCTTATGTTTGGGCGCATCCCGCGTCTCCCTGTAGATGTTGTTTTCCAAAATGTGCTTCATAACAGTTCTGTCGTTAGCCACCGTGAGTTTGTTGCCGTACTGCGACGCGACTTGGCTGAGGCGGCGCGTATCGCCCTAAAACACAGCAGGTCTGAGCAAGTTTGGCAGACCGATAACTACAACCGCAAAGTTAAAGGCTCACCCCCTACCATTGGAGACAGAGTCTTGCTCGCAAACCGTGGTGAGAGAGGAAAGAGGAAAGTAGCGGACAAATGGGACTCTAAAGTATATGAGGTTATATCTGTGAAACCTGAGATCAATGTGTATTCCATCAGGGACCCTCTCACTCAGAAAGTCAAAGTTGTTCACAGAAACCTTCTCCTCCCTGTGAGTTTCCTCCCGGCTGGTGATGGAGACCCACCGGAGTCTGATGGCCCTTCTCAAGCCCATAATAGTGTCCCCTGTGATCCTGACATTCCTGTTGAAGTACAGGACAGTGAGACAAAAACCGCGCAATGGCTTTTACGGACTGATAATGTCAGTGACGAAGACGCTTCTGTTAGTCAAATTTGTGTCTCTGATGGTGACTCTGTGGATGGCCAGTCTCCTGAGGCTGATGTTGAGACACAAATGACGAGTCCTACTGTGAGTTTATCCCAGCCCCATTCTCGTGAGTCTAGTTGTGCCCGTCCTTTCAAGCAGTCGAGCCACGAACTTAGCACTCAGCCTCTACCCCTCCGTACTAGAACTGGTCGAGATGTCAGGCCTCCTGTTCGTTTGGTGTGTCAAATGGGTCAAAGAGTTGTTGCTGATGTATCTTCAGCGGTTTCTCTTGTGAGGTTCTTGTGGGGTTCCTCAGGTTAAAGAGAACCTGTTTTGGTATTGTATTTTTTTTTCGTTTTCCTTTGAGATAGTCATACATAGAAAATATGAAGAAAATGCTGAGATTTTTTTTTGTATGTGGAGTGAGAGCATTGTTTGCCTTATGAGGGATGTAAACGGCATCTCTTGAGTCTCTGCTGTTAAAGGGCTTAGCTATCCCTTTAGCAAGCTTAATCCCAAGTGGATAGTGATCGTTTCTGACTTGAACTTGATATTGCTCTTCAATCGCACAGTTTGTCGCATTATTATTTTTTTCTCTGTTAGGATGAACCACAATTTAGCAGGATTTAAGAGGGGTGTATGTAACATAGTTATTAGAGTACAATTAAATCCACGTAAATTGTGGACACAGCGCCATCTTCTGGCGTTTGCCATACCTGCACCCTTAGTTCGCGCGGAAAGTCCCGAGTTCTTTCACTGTCTGGAGAACTCGAGACGAGGTAACATGTCCGTGAATTTGTGTGGACAGAATTATTAGTTTACTCATGTGTAGCCATTGAAATGCTAAGCTAGTGATTAATTGTTGTGTAGTATTTAGCTGGTGTATATTTCGCCATGTTTAAGAAAAGGTTTTGTGTAATATCTTTTATTTAACCGTGTTTTTCTACCGGAGAACCTAGCTTAGTGTGCGGCTAACCGATGTCCCTTTGCAGAACGAGACAGCACAGAGCACATGAGAGTCCACTACCAGTTATTCACAGTGTCTAATGTTATCTGTGCAGGTATGTAATGTTTAATATGTTTTTTTTCTGTACATTTGTTTGTTTTACTATTGGTTAAATGTGCGTTGCACCATTTCGATAAAGTAGAGTTGTGACACATGCATTTCATACATAATTGGCAGCTAGAAAAAGTATTATTTGGTATAAGATATTTCATGATTGTTTATTAAAAACCACTATACGATCACAAGAACTATTTACAATGCTATATTTGGTAAAAAGGTATTGTATTTTTATTTTGATGTGTATTATTATAATTGTATTTTTTGTATGTGTAATTACAATATTGTAGTTGTTTTAAATATTGTAACTACAAATTAGGTATACAATTGATTCACACTGTCTGGAGAACTCGAGACGAGAACGAGACAGCAAAGAGCACATGAGAGTCCACTACCAGTTATTCACAGTGTCTAATGTTATCTGTGCAGATAATAAAACACGACTTCTACCACAAGCTCTAAAGTCTCCATGGGTCATTAAAGAGAAGGCAGGACACACCGGTCACATAAGCAGTAACCGGTGATGAAGACGAGGAAGTTTCAGGTTAGCTCCGCCGCTTGTTGTGCTAACTCAGCTGTCTATGCTAACAGACCTGTAGATTTCTCACAAAAGTAGGGACTGGTGGTCCGCTGTGATTGGTCACAATCCGAGACCCAAAACACGTTCTCTTCCTTGTTTCATTAAAACTTGATCTAAAATATAATGTCACGCCAGCACAAATCTGCGCTACTTTTTCTTCAAAATCACGTATATCCCAATGCACTGTATGGATATGGATAGCATTTAACAAATGAATACAAAAATAAAGTCAGTTAGTGCAGCTTTAAGAGCAAGTGAGGGTGTTGCCTCGAATCTGTATATGTGTTTGTGTGCTCTTACACTGAAGGGTCAAACCGGAAGTGCCTTGTGTTTTACTCCATAAATGACGCGGTGCTGCTTGATGCGTGTGTTTGAGTCAAAGAGACTGATGTGTTGTGTTTGTTTTCCTCCGTGAATGGTTCGTGTTGCACGGTTATCCTGCCCTTATAATGCTCTGAACAACAAGCTAAAGGAGCTAACAGGAGAGAGCTAACAGGAGAGAGCTAACAAGAGGGGGCTGAGAGCTAATAAAGCTAAAAAGGGACGGCATTATCACCACAGGCTAACAGGAGCTAACAGGAGCTAACCCAGATGAACATGGCAGAAGTGAAACTGGAGGAAGACTCTGAGCTCAGGGACATAAAGGAGGAACCACAGGACCCTGAGTAAGACACACAGACACACACACACACACACATACACGTTTTTGTTACCTGGTGGGTCCCTTTGACAGGGCCGTTCAGAATGGGACCCATAGACATAATCTTTTTTTACTGGGACTACTTTAAGTAATACAAAACAGTCAATAGAAACCAAACAACTATTTTAAAGGAATTTTATTTTAGATTTTGTTTTCGAATTGCAGTGATTCTATTTTTGACATAGAATTTAATGCCACTCCATGTCCGATGTCTAAGGTCATCTGGTGAGGCATTAATGCAGGCCAGGCAGTGAGACTTCCCAGGGACCTTTCCAGTCTGTATGAAAGGTGTCATGGTCTTCTCCACAGCCTTCACCTCAGATGCAGACCATGGCTTTCTTACACGTTCTAGGGAGAGAAATAAAAATATATTAGCAATATACACTCCCAGGGTTAGGACCAAGCAGCCTGGCTGTAATCCCCCACCTGGTACACTTACCAGAAGGGGCACTGCCACTACCATGGGGTGCATCTGGATGAATGGTTGAAGGTTCTCCGCTTGAAGTTTCTTTTAGCCCGTCCGTTTGTGAGAGGATCTCTACTGCTCTCCCTGTCGCACAGAAAATAAAAATACAAGTGGCCTTTAGGGGAAAAAAATCATACATATTTTAATAATATCAAGAATTACCTTCAGGCTCAATTTGTATCTGGTCGAGGCTCTTTCCTTCGAATTCCGTCACTCTTCCCTGCTCCATGGCCATCAACACTTTGCTGATTTTGGCCAGCTCCAGTGTCCCCTCTGGTAGTCTGTAATATTGCCTGTGGATGCGAATGTCATGGCCGAGGAAGTTGGAAAGTATGTCCATCTCATTCTCTTTCATATTGAGAACTGTAGACATAGTAGCTATGTGCTTTCTAAGTTTGGTTGAGGATAGCATCTCTGGATGCACCGCACCACATTCTTTGGCTACCTGGCGTAGGGAGTCTGATCCCCTGATGTGGGTGTCTGCGCCCGGGCGGGAAAAGAAGTATGGGTTATGGTCAGAGATGGAACAGGCCCTTCTGTTCTCCACCAGCACCTCCATCGAAGCAATCATTTCAGGAGTCAAAAGAACCGGCACTTTCCGACTTCTTTTCCCTTTAATTTCAATGCGTTGAAAATGCTGACACAGCTTTTTCTCAAGTTGGGACAGTCCCAGAGCAATGTCAGAATGGATCCCAGTCTTACTACCTTTACCTGGTAAAGGCTGTCAGTGGCATCTTTGAAACCTCACCTT